AATGAGGTATTTTCACCTGTTGTGAAGCATTCGTCGATTCGTATTTTATTGGCATTGGTGGCACAGCTGAATTTGGATTTGGTCCAAATGGATGTGAAAACAGCCTTTCTACATGGAGATTTAGAAGAAGAGATCTACATGACACAACCTATGGGGTTCAAAGCTGCAGGAAAGGAAGAATTGGTATGCAAGCTGAAGAAGTCTCTTTACGGATTGAAGCAATCGCCGCGACAATGGTACAAGAGATTCGACGGCTTTATGATTGGCCGAGGGTACACGAGGAGCCCATATGACCCGTGTGTTTACATGCACAAGCTACAGAATGGTGAGTATATCTATTTGCTGTTATATGTTGATGATATGCTCATAGCTTCCAGGAATACTTCAGCTATTAGAAAGTTGAAAAAGGAACTGTCATCCGAATTTGAGATGAAGGATCTTGGAGAAGCAAAGAAGATATTGGGTATGGAGATTGAGAGAGACAGGGTGAAGGGGATGTTGAAGTTGACACAGAGGAGTTACTTGCAGAAGATGCTGAAGAAATTCAGTTATGATGGCAATGCCAAAGCGGTGAGTACTCCATTAGCTCCCCACTTTAAGCTATCAGCTAAGATGTCACCTGTTTCAGTTGAGGACCGTGAATACATGTCCAAAGTTCCATATGCCAATGCTGTGGGTAGCTTGATGTATGCGATGGTGTGTACAAGGCCAGATTTATCACAGGCCGTGAGCATGGTATCCAGGTACATGCACGACCTCGGGAAGGGTCATTGGGAGGCCGTGAAGTGGATTCTACGGTATATCAAAGGTACCGTGGATGTTGGTTTTTCTATACAGTTTAAAACAGAAGCAAGATTTTCAAGCAAAATCATAGCAAAGATCATGCAGGATATAAATGAAGGATATAAATGATATCTATTTCCTTTGGTATCTATTTCCTGCTTGAAGTGGATGAATGAAGGATATAAATGATATTTAATGCTTTATCATACTAAAAAACAATCTCAGTCATGTAGTGAGGTAAGAAGCATAAGATGGTAGTGAATTCACCATAGGTTGGTCCTCTATAATCTTTTTGACTTCAATGAGCTTTATGTTGGTGGATTCAGAGTGAACAACACGCCTACCTGCAGTAAATCAAAGTTACTCATAAATATTAAGGTGCCTTAGATCCCTAGTGATATATTTTTCTGAAAACAATTTGTATATTCCCACAATCAGTAGATTGAAGTGGCCGTGTGATCACCCAATTTCCATATAAAGTGATCTCTAATTTCAGGAAAATTTCAGGAAAATTTTAGGAAAATGTGATGAAGATTCATTTAAAGCAAAGAACATTAACAATTGATAAATCAAGATTCAAGACTAATTGGAAATATTGTTTTAACTCTTACCAACTTCTAGAACTGTTATACAAAGAAACAGTAAGAATAAATTGCATGAAACTTAAGTAATCTTACAAGAAATGGGCAAATAAAGGATGTTAACTTTGAACTCTCTAGGGGTTAGGTCAAAGCTACCTATGCCTCATAATATTGTTCTCTTGTAGCTAAAGAAAGTATGATGCTTAAATATATTAACTTTGTGAAATAATTCTGCTAGCAGGTATTGATTAGTTAATAAATTATGATCGCCTAAATTGAGGCTTCATAGTTAGGATGAACGTCCAATCTCTTGCTGCCTGAGCTTTTCAGGTCAAGGCTATCTATGCCTCACAATATCGTTCTACTGTAGCTAAAGAAAGTGTGATGCTTAAATATATTAACTTCATAAAATAATTCCACAAGCAGGTATTGATTAGTTAATAAATTATGATCTCCTAAAATCAGGTTTCATAGTTAGGATGAATACCCAATCTCTTGCTGCCTGAGCTTTTCAGGTATCCATCCTGAGCTATCTTGTCGATCAATTTTCGAACAGTATTCTGTTTAGCCTCTCCATCTAGCTTAGTCTGAAGTTTTGCTACTGTCATATAATCCATTGGAAGAGCATAATACAGAGCCTGAACCGAAGGCAAAAGCAATTTTTAAAATAATAATAATAATATAAGGTAAGGAGAAGGCTCAATAGTGTTGCTTTATTTGTAACATTGCATGGCAAATAAAATAAGAATAATAGCTTACCTTCGTGTACATGAAATCAATATCAGGACTTTTGTTAATTTTCTCAGTTTGCCTGACATCTTGCAAAAATACTACTATACAATCGTATACAGAGAGGGAGAAAAAAATCCCCAATGAAGTGTGTATGTACTACAACTGCAAGTGAGTAAGAATGAAAGAGGGAGACAAATACGCACTACTACGTGACTGAGAAATCTCGTATCCTTTCATAGTTCTGCATATATAATTAGAATTACTAAAATTGAGCACAAATCTATTACTATTAGACATATATATAATCTTCATCCAAAACCTTCAGTAGCACAACCCATGACACAAACATTTCACAAGACAACCATGACACCACAAGAACATCATCCTTCCTAACTAAATCACCAAAAACCATTACAAGAGCAAACCCAGCCCATCACGAAAATGATCCTTACTAACCATGACACAACAAGAACATCATCTCTGATGACAAACTCGCTCCCATAAACCTTAGAAATTAAATTCATAGCTTCATGACAATTTGTAGACACCTCGTCAACTCCTCAACCATGACACACCAAAAACCATTTCTTTCCCCTCTTCATCCAAATCCAGCAACACCTCCTCAACCATAAAACGTCATCTCCAGAATATATTTCATTAGTCTATCACAATTTGTAGACAAAAGATTATAAAGGAAGTAGTTATCAAATGAAGCAACATGTTTCCAATTCCTTGGAAGTGGCAGGCCTGAAGCATTTCTAACACTATAGAACATGCCGAGTATATTATATTAACCAAGCTGCACAACTTGCAAATTATGCTTCAAAACTAAAAGGTTTCAGCATAATTTTTTATTTCAACCAGGAATACTTATTTGCAAAAATCAAAGCTTGGAATTACGAAGGTATGAATAACTGAACAAAAGGACTATTTTTGATGTACAAAGATTCTTTTATATAAGGAAAAATAATAATAGATGAAAGTGGAAAAAAGTAGGGTTTTGAATCGACCTTATGGAGAACGGCGGAAATGAAAAAAAAGTAGGGTTTGGCCCGTTTTAGATGGAGAGGGAAATGAAAAAAGAGGGGAGGAAATGAAAAAGAGGCGGGGAAATGAAAAAAAGAGAGGGGGTTTTTTTGGCGACGCACATGGAAAATAAAGCGTCGGCAAAAGTATATTTTTTGCGACGAAAAGTTTTGCGTCGCTAAAAACTATACTTTTGCCGACGTAATATAGCGTCGACAAAAGTGTTACTTTTAGTGACGCAAAATTGTTCGTCGCTAAAAGCTAAACCTTTACCGACGCTAACGTGCGTCGCCAATTGTATACTTTTTTACGACGAATATTTTTGCGTCGCTAAAAGCTATACTTTTGCCGACGAAAATGAAAAAACGTCGGGAAATTCATACATTTTTACCGACGCTAAGTTAAAACGTCGCAAATAATATACACTTTTAGCGACGCTAATTATAAACGTGGGGAAAAATATATGTTTTGCCGACGCTAACTAAAATCGTCGGGAAAAACATAACTTTTGGGGACGTATTTAACCATGCGTCGAGAATAAGCATCGGGAAAAGTGCAATTTGTTGTAGTGATTATTTACAAATAATATCTGCATTTAGACCTCTCCAGTATCATTTATTTTAGGCAATTATTTTGAGTAAGATATTTCACCTATTTTCTCATGCCTAAATTACAATTCCCATGAACATAAATAAAAATTATTTTGAAACATCAAAATATTTTATTATTATAAAAAAGGAAATTTAAAAAAAAATATTTTTTTAAAACCACCTACCGGTAGGAATTTAATAACTTCATTAGAATGCATAATAAATTAACTCATCACAATGAGCATACTGGATCCTATCTAGATATCTATCATTTCCCAAAATAATTTAGCAACCCTACGTTTCGAGTTGTGTAGCACTTACTAAACAAGCTTAACCATCATATCAGAGTATACTAAATTATCAAATTAGAAATGACAATATCATCAAGTCAAAAGGACAATGTAACAATTTGAATCCTCTATCTCTTAGGTGACTCGTCCTAACAAATTCAAATATTGTCTAGTTGCTACACACATCACAATGTGTGCTTATGACATACACCCGGGGAATCCACATTCCCAGTGGTTGAGACCCATCACCACATCTCACATATTGGTGTCATGCATAATAACCTATTATAACAAAGTTATCCTTTACTAGTTTTAGGTTAAGCACAAATTTAAGAAATTTTTAAGTTAGATCATATCTCTAAACAAGTGACCATCACAATACATGATCTAATAAAATAATTTCTAAGGATATATAACAACTATATAAATTATACCCAAATTATATGTGCAACAATACAATGAAATTTATTAACATTACAATAATATTACATAATTTGTATTGGATGTTCAAGGCATATTATTAGTATTCCATCGGTAAGTACCTACATGACTTAAACCCTAGCTACAAGAGTCGATCTCTCCACGATCAACTTGGCTTCAAAATATGATTGAATGTTCAACGTGGTCATTGATGTTATAGGTGGAAACACTCCTCTTCTAGATTGGATTATGAATGCTCCCTGCACAAAGTTCAAGATGCCACACATCGAGAAATATAAGGATGAAGGCGAGCTAGCCGAACAAGCATAAATTTTTTATGATTTAATGTGCATGCAGCAGGTGAGCAACCTCATCATTTGTCGAGTCTTTCCCATCACTCTTAGTGGCAGTGCGAAGATGTGGTGGAACTCAATAAATAAGATGTTTATATATAAGTTTGAGCAACTAAGGCAAAAGTTTGTATATTATTTTCTGGCAGATACAAAACAAAAGGTGCCCTCTGCTCTCCTATTACAAATTAGGCACAGATCAAGTGAGATCTTGAGGGAGTATTTTAAGAGATTTTAGGCTAAGCACTTATAAGTGAGGGACCCTTGCTTGCAATATAGTGACCATGGCTACAATCACTGCGAGACTCAAGATGAGAAAATGTATTATTCTCTTATTATGAGGATAGATACGACCATAAAATGGCAGTATGATTGGAAGTTGCTATGGTGGAGTCCTCTCAAAATAAGAAGGCTGAAACAGTCGGCCCAAATCCAAGTCCAGACCTGGTCGGATGGACAAAAGCAAATCCCTTGTCAAGGGTTATTCGATAATACTGCTGTTATCGTTGGGACGCTGGTCACAACACCGATGATTGCAATATTCTGCAAAGAGACATTAGGAGCCTCATTCAGAGAGGTTTCTTGAAGAAAATATTTTATCCCCAAGATAAAGAAGAACCAGCCCCAAGAAGATCAAAAATGAAAATGTCCCAATCAATATCTCCTTGTCAAAATCGGTGGAACGACCAAGTGTAAAAAGCCAAAGATAAGAGCACCATTAACATTATCAGTGGCAGCCTAGCATCGGGGGGAATGTCAAAGAATACTCAAAAGCTGTATGCATGGAAAACATTAGAAATGAACCTCTGTGAGAAGTAGCCAAAGACACATCAACCTATATCTTTCAGCAATGTTGATTTGAAAGACATGAAGATACCCTATAATGGTCTCATTATCATCTAGTCATAAATCTACGGCTTCTATGTCAAAAGAATCATCATTGACATCAGAAGCTCTAGCAACATCAAGTTCATGGATGCCTTCAGTTAGATGGGAGTTGATAAATCAAAACTACAAGTATGCTCGAGTCCACTCATATGATTTTTGGGGCACTCTGTTTAGCCTGAAGGGTCTATCACCTTGCCCATAGTTGTGGGTAATTATCCCTGCTAGTCGATGGTCTAAATTCAATTCATCGTGATAGATGTTAAATAAACCTATAATGTCATTTGGGTAAGGACTTCTTTGAAAGACTTGTAACTTCTTTGAATGACTTATAAGCTGTTACCTCCACTTTCCATAAGATGATGATGTTTCTGACCCTGGAGGAAGTCGATCTTGCTTTAAGCAACCAATGAGAGACTAGATCATGCTATCTACTCTCAATGAAGGGGAAAAGGATTTTCGAGCCCCCCCTCCCAAAGTTTTCAAGATCCTGCGTTTGACTTGTAGTAAGGATTAACATACTTTGGGTAATAGCCAGAGGTGTACTGTTGAACATAGCTTGAGTCATCTTGCTTAGGTTGAAATTTGTCTTCATTCTACTTGGTTGTCAGAGGTGTAATGTGGAACGCGGCTTCCCTTATTATAGATTCATATTGAAGGCTCAATGACGCTTGTACTCATCTAATTTTGTATTTGGAACGAAGTTCATTTATCCCATTCTTAGGGCAATGTTGAGAATGCAGTGAAGCTCAGTTAACTCTGAATGCTGATGAAGTTCGCCTCACTTTAGCTGTGCGGGCGAAGTTCGCTAGTTAGTGATGTTCACTAGTTAGCGATGGCTGCTAAGATCCTCCCTTTGGATTTGTGCCTTGATTTGTGACTGTGATTTCTCTTTTAGTAGTCAAAGATTCGCTAGGCTTATTTTTAGTCTCTTTCTCCAGTCCAATCACTTCTCAAAAAGAGGTGAATTTTTTGGAAGTTTGGATTTTAAAGGCCTATAAATAACCTCATCCCTATCCAACTTCTCTTCATCTTTATTTTATCCATGTTGAAGTCTTCTTTGACTCGATCAGAGATGCTCCTTAATAGAGGAATTGAAATTAAATAGCTCTAACAGGATCTTGCCCAAGTGAGTTTCAATCAAGTAGAGGAAGTCTGCATACTTTGCTAATTGGTGTATATGCTTTCGGCTGAGAAGGCTGTGCTTGAGCAAACTATATAGAATAAATCAAAAGTTTGAGGCGAGATGAATCGCGATAGAGGCACTTAGAGCTTTGAATGCTATGCTCTTCGTAGGACTGTGTGAAGGCTGAGATGATAGGTAAAGAAAGATCCTTGGAGCTCTACAAGCGAAGACTCTAAAATTGAATGAGTCTCATAAGTGTGGACCTAAAACATAATTAATGGCTTTTCTCATCTCCTAGCATAGGTCCTAAGGAGGAGTAAATAAGAGTTGTTTTTCTGCATGTGGAAAAACACTATTCCCCAAGTTTTGTGAGATCAGATGAAGAGGGCCTTAGTAGCTTCTCTTTCTTTTTCGTTCTCATTATCCATGGTTAGGAGTATAGGATAGGATCTTGCTTTTGGTTTCTCCTCGTCTCCATGACTGTTGTTG